ATAAATCCTAAATAATGAATATAATACCACAATAACCACCATGTATGTTGATATGCATTAAGATATCTTGTTTGTTGATGTACATTGAGAATGTCTACACTGAGGTATTATCATAGAACGCTTTTTGAATCCCCTACAATATTGAAGTTTCAACCTGCTTTCAAATATTGATTTCTTCACATGCATATTTCTACGCATTACAGTCACTGAACATAATAAGACAACTGATTGAATTATTGCTTTTGCAAAAACATTTACAGTATTATGAATATCAAGCTTAACTTTCCTTAATGACAAAACTTTTTTTGTATGTTTGGTACATTAGAAAGCTTAGGTTGACTCCAGATTGCATAAGGGGTGTCAAATCTTGTAAGGATCCAATAAATTATCTACCTTCTTTTTTGTTCAATTTTGTGAAATATCTTGGACAGTTATATTAATGTTAGATAAAATGTTGTTTTCGAATACTGAAAAACAGATCATAATTTGTATGATACAAACTTTTTGTCTTTTAAATTTGTTTTTTACATTATAAGGAAATAATATATCATGTATATGTCCATAGGACATCATGTCCAGCTCACGCTATCACATTTTTCAGTGAACTGCTGAACTTTAACTTACACAGGATGGATGACTGTAAAACATAATGTCCCCTTTCCTATCATAGGTTGAGCATAAAAAGCTTAACAATGTAATGGTAAATATATTACGTTAACTTTATTTGGATAACCATATTTTGTTTGTCACCTCTGTGATAAATATATAAGTAATGCTGACAAAAAATCAACAAAAAAGATTATCTTCATAAAAAACATGCAGATACATGTATTTCTGTTCCTAGCTTTATATTCAAATCATAACAGTAGCAAATAACAAACAATCATAATACTCAAGGTATAAATACACAGCAATCTTAATTAAACACACATTATTCTATATAATAAGAAGTTCAGAAAACAATTATTTCCATTCCTTGTTAGCAAATCGGAAAGCCTACTTACAGCTGAATTTGGATGAGGAAACTTATGTTTATGAAAAAATAATAATGAGGGATTAGAGGAATGTGCATTTTCATTGTAAATTGACCATGTTGAACAATTTCTTTATTGTACTGAGTTAAAATATAATGTTAAATAACAATGTTTTCAGTAAACCATAGTTAAACAAGAATATGTGCCCATAGGACACGGTGCCCATAAATAAAAAGACATGCACACATAAAATAAAAGTTTATAAACAAAAATAAATATGACTACACTAACTCAGATATAACTAACCAAATTGTTGGGGAAAAAATAACAATATTAAAACAGATAATCACAATAAATGTCAACAAATTATGCACTACGGAGTTAACAATAACACTACACCAAAATATGTATTGAGCATCAAATATTAAACTGTAAAATGTTTTAATTTTTTTCCCCTAATCATCAATATTTACCAGAACCATGTTCTTGAATAGCAGAAAAAATTCTTTTATGCATAATATTTGGTTGAGGCAAAATAAAGTAAGAGTGCAAAAATGACACATTCACCATTTTTTCTATTTAGAAGGGGACATAACTCAAGAACTATGAAAGTGATGCCACCCAAATTGGAACTTGATCCGTGTTTGGGAGGAATAAGCACTGTGTATAAATTTTAGAACATTTAGTTCTGGCAAAGTAAAGTTAAAGTGCAGAAACAGCTAATTCAGCATTTTTTTCAATTTTATATATAATATAAAGGGACATAACTTGAGAACAGTGAATGTGATGCAACCCAAATTTTAACTTGATCTGTGTTTGGTGGTAATAAGCATTATGTAATAAGAGTTTCATGATATTTGGTCGAGGCAAACTAAATTTAGAGAGCATAACCAATTTCAGGAGTTACGGACGGACAAGGGTAAACCTTAATGCCCCCTTTGCCATGGCGGAGGCATAAGAGTTATTTCCTTCATAATGTCATATACATTTCTCCATGAGATCTTCATCACCGGGAAAAGATATATAAACAAAAAGATTCAAAAATATAAATTGCATTCTCATTATTACCAAAGCTTATGTCAACAGTATTCAATATAAATAATCCTATGTTAACTGATATATTGAAGGTAATTGCAAAATATGCATAAATTTTCATATTTGCAGGGTACTATTTAAAAAGCAATCATGAGACATTTATGTAGAACAATGATCCTAATTTTTTTTCATGTGATTTTGGTCATTTTCTTAAGCGACATTAAGTTCACTTCAATAAGAAGACACTGTAATTTTGTTTAGAGAAAATCAAAAGAAGTAATAAACAGAATGCTAACTTTGTTGTGTAAACATACCTTTCATACTTAAATTGGTGTCAAAATAAAATTCCTGATCACAGTGAGTTATCAGTCAGTTTATCAAGATAATAACAAAATTTAATATAAAAAATAATCTCCTAAAATAAACTTTTAAATTGAATATCCTGTACTATTTGAGATTCACAACACAATGCACTTTGTTCAGATACTTTCTATAGCTATCATGGTAAGGCCAAACAAATGTTTATACATGTTTCCTGCAATTAAAACAGGGTACGGGGTTGGAACCTCAATGGAGATAAAATTATCTTTTATTTTTTGTACATGACTGTATAGGGAAATGATGGGTTTTTTAGCAGTTCTTAATAAAAAATGTCAATAAAATGTGTAGGATAGCAATGATAATTTAGGATAGGAAGGGATGCAAGAAACATATTTATTTTCTTTTTGGCCTAATACAAATATATGAGATTCATAAAACTGGTCCTATAAAAATTTACAAATAAATAAAGTTCTATATCTAATTTTCAATATGACTATTTGTTAATCCTCGGCAATGCCTGGTCCTTGGTGAAAAAAGTGTAGTGTATTTTATCATGCTTAGTATATATTAAAAGTATATTTCAAAGGAAAAACTTGATAAATATCATTAATAATTGAAGCTTTACTTCTCAAAAAATATTTAAAAGACTGAACAATTTCTTTTTCTGCAACCTAAACTATCACACTGAAAGTAAAATATCATTGATGATATAATTTGGATATAAAATTTCAGTAGAGCCATTTCTAAATATAAAAGCGATAAAAGAATTTATGAAAGGTGAATGTTTGAACTTTCATTTCAAAGAAACATAGCTGCCTTTTTTAACAAATATTTAAATCAGATTATGATAATAATAAAGTCTTGTATAGATAATAAATATACTGTGGATTCATTTATTTTCGTGGATACCAATTTTCGTGGATTGACGAAAAATTGCATTTTCGTGGATATTTGATTTCGTGGTTTTGCCAAAGTCTGCATATAAGACTATAGGAAATTTGTTATTCGTTGAACATTATATTTCGTGGTTCACCTGTAACAACGAAATCCACGAAATTTGGTATCCCACGAATAATAATGAATCCAGAGTATTAAGTATTTCAATATTCAATTTTATTTTTTTAACAGATATTTTACACTATATGGCACACATTAATAAATCATGATAATATAATATATCTTTCGTACGTGAACCAAAAAAGGTTTATTGTATTTTTGTTTTTTTGTGTGACTATTAAATTTTGGTCAAATGAAAAAATGCAAGAACTTTGATATCTTACATGGACTAATAAAAAACTTTTCACAAGTTGAATAAAGCATACACATTATCAACAAAAAATTTGCTAAAGAAACTGCTTGAAATAAATCACACCATATTTACATACAAAGTCACAAAGCATTAAGAAATTATTTATTCAAGCATTCAATATCAATTCATTATTACAGTGTCCATACCATAATGCAATGTTTGTAGAATGTTTCAAATTTTGGACAGTCTCTCTGATATGTCCTATATATATATATATATATATATGGATATTGAACTATATATCCCATAATTGCATGCTGTTTCAGTAATGTGCACAGAAAAGTGACAGATAACCAACATTCTTTCAAAAATTTTGTTCTCACATTCTGTTTTTTTTTACAGTTTTATGCTACTGATGGTATTAATGACTATAAAAAATAAAGACAATATTTTCCTTTTCAAGGATTAATTTACCTTTTTTAATTCATTCATTCATATAACAATAAATTACAGTCTTAAAATGCTATACAAAACAAATATCACACAAAAAATTACAATATTTTAATAGTTTGATGTAGGTGGGTGTAGATGGAGGTCTCTTAAAATATTGTAATTTTTTGTGTGATGTAGGTGGGTGTAGATGGAGGTCTCTTAAAATATTGTAAAATATCACACAAAAAATTACAATATTTTAAGAGACCTCCATCTACACCCACCTACATCAAACTCATTTCAACTTTATAACATTAGAAACATAGTCTTAACATATAGAAAGATTCATCATTGTTCTTTAAGTATTACAAAAGTCATTAGAAATATAAAATTATTATGGCATATATAAAAATACTCACAGCCATTTAATATACTACAGTCAGCTTACTGTATATCAGCTCAAATTTTGTTTTTGACATTGACGATTTAACAGTAATTCAGAAAACTGTTCAATTATTCTTTATTATAAACTTGTATAAAAGATTATCTAAAAAAAAATTTCCAATGAACTTTAAATAAATGTTTGCTAAGTTTACTTTAAATCAAGAATCAACAATGAATTTGAAGGGAATTAAACTTATATTACTTTACACAGAGTTGTCTCCCTTGAACATCTTTTTATTAACATCAGAACAGAAAGTAAAGCCCAAAAAATTGATGCATGATCTTAATATGCCAGAAAAATCCAAGAATAAACTCCCCTTCTGCATGAAAATGACTTTATGCAGTTTCCTAATTCCACCCGTATTATGGTCAAACCTACAGATAATAATCACTAAGATCTACTAATATCTGGCTTATTAAAAAAACATCTGAGATTCTATTATAACCATTAAAACTGGTAACTGAGTAAATAATCTCATTAAAACTACTGCACTCTATTTCTTTTTCCAGGAAATTTTTCTCACTATCCTAGTCCATTATTATGTAACAATAAATTTTAACAAGAAAACAATCAACAAAAAGATAAACAACATATGAATAATAATCTGCTGTTACACTTCAACCTCAGCAACCATCTTGGAAATAAGAGTCTGAACATCTTTACTTCTGAGTTTTGCTGTCTCTAGAACTTCTTCGTGATTGGCACAGGTTTTACAGTCATACTCCATAATACAGCTATTTGTAATCAGAGATAACCCAAACACTTTCATGCCACAATATACTGCCACAGTGGCTTCAGGTACAGTACTCATACCTATAGAAAATAAATCATTTACCTTCACTCAAATCTTCATGTCATATAAAAACGTAGTACATTTATAACTTTATCAGTTCTCACATTCAAACTGCATTATAAGATGTATTTCATTAGAAAGATTGAATAATGGATCAATAAATTCAAATTTTTAAACAAGAAATCTAATATGTCACCATCATTCAATAAAATGATTTAACATATAAATTTTCAAGATCGAACAATTTGGTGGACTAGACTTGCTAAAAGAAGAGAAAAGAAATAACTTTAACTGCGACCGAATAATACAACCACTTAAAGCTGCCTCATCCTCATCCATAAATTGAAGATAATTCAATACAAAAAAGTCAAAATTATTTATAAGTATTTGATGAAAAATATAGATATTTCTAGACACAGTGAAGATTTCATTTCAGCCTAAGGATTTTTACAATCAAATTACAGAATTTTAAATTCAGAAATTATTGCGAAGTTTTTATTAATGTGAATAATGCGACTGGATAGTTAGAAATTATATTCTGATATCTGATACATATATATGTCCTATACAAATTTTCCCAAAATTGCAATAATTAAACTTGTTTTGTCCATTTTTCAAAAGTTGCAATAATAAATGCATGCAATGATTTCTGAACTTATACAGTATTTGATAATAAAATTATGCAATGTTCATAAAGTGCCCATTCTTAAAAAAGAAACTTGACTATCAGACTTTAACCACTGACGCACAAAAGAACAGATACAACAGCATTCAGTGAAAACATTATGTTATTCTTACCTGTAGCATCAACCCCACATTGGAGTAGAAATTTACATTCAGTGACAGTCTCATAAGATGGTCCAGATAACATGGAGTAAACTCCTTCCCTGCAGAAATCCGTATAACCTAGTTCTTTGATGCATTTCTTTGCCAGGTTACGTAGATTGAAATCATAAGCATTAGATAATGCTGGAAATCTTGGTCCAAATCTACAAAAGACAAAATGAAATCAATGTCTGTTTGACAAGTATTATGGCAACAATGTGATCAATGTTCAAGACATTTTTTTATATGGGTAGTCAATAAGAGGTTTTCATGTTTTTAATTTATTGAAATGTAAAATCAGCTTACCCAGACACATTATTTTGACTACGAGCCAACCAGTCTTTGCTCTTACTCCTAAATGCCGCATGCTTAGCTGAGAAGCAGCAAATACCAATTTTAAAGTCTTTTGGTTGACCTGGCCAGGGTTCGAACCCATGACCTCCCAAACTCCAGGCAAACAAGCTACCATGAGACCGACAAGGCGGTATATAACAAAAGACAACCACTGCCAAGTGTTTACAGACTTTAGACAGGCAGGAGACCGACAAGGCGGTATATAACAAAAGACAAGCACTGCCAAGTGTTTACAGACTTTAGACAGGCAGAAGACCGACAAGGCGGTATATAACAAAAGACAACCACTGCCAAGTGTTTATAGGTGTAATACCACCATTGATTTTCCCCTATTAGTCTTTGTTAAATTTGCACTTTTCAAAAAATTGTGCAGAATTTATCTTTGTTTCAAATAAACAAATACTTGGCATGAGTAAAGTTTTATCCTGTCCAGTACTATAGAAAAAATTTCACATAACATTTCATTGCATATAAGAAAATAACCATCACTGGAAGTTAACCAATCAAATTTTCCCCCTTTTTTAACCTGTGTACAAGCTTTAGTAACCATGTAACCTCAAGTTTCCAAAATATTCTATAGAAACCCCAAATAAAGAAATAATGGTGCTTTGAAATACCCAAGATATATGTTTATGACTCAGAAATGTTTTACTGCAATGAAATGTAGGATCAATTACCTACAACTGTCAAATTCAAGGGAATATTTTTTTTCGACCTATTTTCGTATGCAACCGGATGTGACGTACTATGATTTGGTGGTATTACACCTTATAGACTTTAGACAGGCAGAAGACTGACAAGGCGGTATATAACAAAAGACAACCACTGCCAAGTGTTTACAGACTTTAGACAGACAGAAGACCGACAAGGCAGTATATAACAAAAGACAAGCACTGCCAAGTGTTTACAGACTTTAGACAGGCAGAAGACCGACAAGGCGGTATATAACAAAAGACAAGCACTGCCAAGTGTTTACAGACTTTAGACAGGCAGAAGAACGACAAGGCAGTATATAACAAGAGACAACCACTGCCAAGTGTTTACAGACTTGTAAACAAATCAATTTTGTGTATTTGTTCTATCAGTCTTATTCTCCACTATATCTGTATTTGTTCTATCAGTCTTATTCTCCACTATATCTGTATTTGTTCTATCAGTCTTATTCTCCACTATATCTGTATTTGTTCTATCAGTCTTATTCTCCACTATATCTGTATTTGTTCTATCAGTCTTATTCTCCACTATATCTACCAGTATATATATGAGATTGATACATGTTTTTAGTTCAAAGACCACTTTCAGCAATATTGGTTATTTCATGGCTGCCAGTCTTTACTGGTGGAGGAAGCCGGGGTACCCAGAGAGAACTACTGACCTTTGGCAGAAAAACTGGGAATTCTAGTCAATCAAAATTGGAATCAAACGTACCTGCCATGTGCTGGGTTCTCACAACCTAAGTGTTGGTGGGCTAGTGATCCCATAGATGAACTATTTAGACCACTCTGACACCGAGGCCCCTGTTATATGAGAAGATATTTACCTATCATCATTTGGTCCTATTAATGGATTTAAACCTGAGAATCCTGGTATATTAAAATGATCCTTCATTATCATGATGTCCCCTACATTATAGTCTCTGTTGATACCACCGGCAGCATTTGTTATAAATAGTGTTGTAACGCCCATCAGTTTCAATATCTTTATAGGTAATGTTACCTAAAATAAAAAAGATTTAATTTACATACTTGTAGTTATAAAAACTAGAGGATCTCAAGAGCCTGTGTCGCTCACCTGTATTTACTGATGCTTTGGAAATCATGTGAAATAAGGTTAAAATCATAATTAATAGTATTAGATATTAGATATTATAATGCTATCTAAGATAATAACAAAAAACTGCAAAATTTCTGTAAAATTACTAACTCAGGGGCAGCAACCCAACAACGGGTTTTCGGATTCGTCTGAAAATTTCAGGGCAGATAAATCTAAATCTGATGAACATTTTTGCCACCTGTCAGATTTGCTCTAAATGCTTTAGTTTCAGAGATATAAACCAAAAACTGCATTTTACCCCTATGTTCTATTTTTAACCAAGTTGGCCATGATGGTTGGAAAGCGGGGTTATCCGACAAATATTTTAAACTAGATACCCTAATAATGATTATGGCCAAGTATGGTTAAATTTGTCTCAGTAGTTTCAAAGAAGAAGATATTTGTAAAAGATTACAAAAATTTACGAAAAATTGTTAAAAATTGACTATTAAGGGCAATAACTCCTAAAGGGGTCCACTGACAATTTTGGTCATACCAACTTATTTGTAGATCTTACTTTGCTCAACATTATTGCTGTTTACAGTTTATCTCTATCTATAATAATATTCAAGATAATAACCAAAAACTGCAAAATTTCCTTAAAATTACCAATTCAGGGGCAGCAACCCAACAACAGGTTGTCAGATTTGTCTGAAAATTTCAGGGCAGATAGATGTTGACCTGATAATCAGTTTTACTTTAAATGCTTTGGTTTCAGAGATATAAGCCAAAATCTACATTTTACCCCTATGTTCTATTTTTAGCCATGGCGGCCATCTTGGTTGGTTGGCGGGGTCATCGGACACATTTTTAAAACTAGATACCCTAATGATGATTGTGGCCAAGTTTGGTTAAATTTGGCCCAGTGGTTTCAGAGGAGAAGATTTTTGTAAAAAGCTAACGACGACGGACGACGACGCCGACGGATGCCAAGTAATGAGGAAAGCTCACTTGGCCCTTTGGGTCAGGTGAGCTAAAAAGTAAATGGGGAATGTGTCCATGGGATACAAATGATGCCCCCGCTTGCATATCATATAAAGTTATAAAAAGACAAAACTGAAGAACGCTAAAAGTGACAATACCCAAATTTGTACTTGATCTGGGTTTTGTGGTAATAAGTATTGTGTATAAGTTTCATAACATTTGGTTGAGGCAAACTTAAGTAAGAGACCAGAAACAAAAAAAAATCAGCAATTTTTCCATTTGTAAAGGGGCATAACTCTAGAATGGTAAAAGTGATACCACCAAAATTCCATCTTGATCTGTGTTTTGTGGTAATAAGCATTGTGTATAAGTTTCATAACATTTGGCTGAGGCAAACTAAAGTAAGAGAATGGAAATGAAAAATTCAGCAACTTTTCCATTTGTAAAGGGGCATAATTCTAGAACGGTTAAAATGACACCACCAAAATTCCATCTTGATCTGTGTTTTGTGGTAATAAGCATTGTGTATAAGTTTCATAACATTTGGTTGAAGCAAACTAAAGTTAGTGAACGGAAACAAAAAATTCAGCAATTTTTCCATTTGTAAAGGGGCATAACTCTAGAAAGGTTGAAATGACACCACCAAAATTCAAACTTGATCTGTGTTTTGTGGTAATAAGCATTGTGTATAAGTTTCATAACATTTGGTTGAGGCAAACTAAAGTTTGTGAACGGAAACAAAAAATTCAGCAATTTTTCCATTTGTAAAGGGGCATAACTCTAGAACGGTTAAAGTGACGCCCCCAAAATTCAAACTTGATCTGTGTTCTGTGGTAATGAGCATGTTGTTTAAGTTTTATAACATTTGGTTGAAGTAAACTAAAGTTAGAGAACGGAAACCAACGGACGGACTGACAGACGGACGTACAGAGGGACAAAGGTAAAACTTAATGCCCTGTCCGCTACGGCGGGGGCATAAAAATTAATAACTGTGAATGCATGCTCTTAATAAAAGTTGTGACATTGACACATTTTTTTTAGGTTTATATTTTTAACTTTTCTCTATAAGGGACAGTAAGTATGACATTAATCATGTTAACATTTCTAGTACAGAAATGTTAAAATCACAATCTAAGAATAGAAACAAAGTTTTTGAAAGCATTATCAATATCTACTTTTATTAAAGCTGTTATCCTAATGCTAGCAAGTTAAAGGTTTGGTTGGCTTGCTGGCTTTGTTTGTATACATATTTGCTCAAGCATTGTAATTTAGATTGACATCTGCAATCAGCAGAAAGGCGGGGCTTCAACTTGTATACATTGCTTGACTTACAATAACATTTATAAGTATAATGTATACAAATTGCCTCACCTATTTATTGATAGCAGATGTCAATCTTAGTTACAATGCATGAGCAAACATTTATACAAACAAAGCAAGCAAGTCAACCAAACCTTTAACTTGCTAGCATTAGGATAACAGATTTAATGACTTTTTTTTTTTTAAACCTAGTGATGTATTTGCTGATTTTTTTTACAATTTCTCCAAGGTCAGCATAATCATCGAAGGTTTTTCAACAATTTCTTAAAGGTCTGTACCATCATTTGAAATTTTTTTACAATTTCTTCAAGGTTGAAGGTCGGCATGATCATTAGAGGTTTTTTATTACATTTTCTCCAAAGTAAGCATAATCATCTGAAGTTTTTTTTACCATTTCTCCAAAGCTGAAGGTGGCATAATCAATAGTTTTTTTTTTTAAATTTCTCCAAAGCTGAAGGTGGCATAATCATCTGAAGTTTTTTTTTAACAATTTCTCCAAGGTTGAAGGTGGCATTATCATTAGAAGTATTTTTTTACATTTTCTCCAAGGTCAGCATTATCATCTGAATTTTATTTTTACAATTTTTCTTTATGATATTGTAGATCAGCCCAGTTATATTATATGTAAATATTAACCCAGAGTGAATTCTTTTGCTAAAATTCATCAAATGATATATATTCACAACTTTAATGCAAAAAGTAAAACCTTACAGGTTAAAATGCAAACATAACATTCACAAGAAACATACAATACATGAAAGAAGTCCTAAACAAGTCAAGTTAATATTAATAATATATATAAGTATATAGATAATTGACCAATGTGGACCTTATTTTCGCAACTCCATGGATTGCTTTATATAGCCTACAACACTAGACAAAATATCTTCATGGGAATCTAAAATAGTTTCAAGTTTAGAGTTTGGGTCAAGCTAGTTAAAATTAGGAGAATGGGTTTTAACTGCATTTATACGGGGATTTCTGATATAATGGTGATTTGGCAATGAAGGAAAAAGAGTTCCTCATCATCTTAAATTTTACAAACTTTACACACTCTATGTTCTCTTTGAATTTTTTTATATCGAGTTATTTCAATTTCCAAGTTATGGTCACTTACACAGAATTTTGTTAAAAGTTGACAACTATTAAAATTTTTATAAAGGTAAAGTTTTGAACTGTTATCGATATTTGAAAGTTTTTCAAGAGTGATTTTATCATACTTTTCTATAACAATATGTTTAAAAGTTTTATTAAGTGAATTTCTTATAAGTTTAAAAGGTTTAACAAAATCAACATATTCTTCTTCATCAATATTAAATTCTTTAAAAATGTTCTTTGCAAAAGTGTGCCAAGTATATATTCCATGTTCCATACTTATTTACTTTGAAAGCTTCTTTAACAAGAGGGTTTATTTCATGGCAGTTAATTCTACAAAAATATAATAAAACTTGAGTTTTTATAAAGGAATCAAGTGGAAATCGTCCTAACTCAGACTTTGCAGCTATATTATATGAGGTTTTTTTAATTCCAAAATTAGTTTTACAAAATTTATGATGCACTTTCTCAAAGCTGAATCTGTTGGTCAAGGAAAAAATATCACAGTTAGTTCCTTGCATTTTGGCTCTGTTCATGGCTCTAAAAATGGAGTAATAATCTTCCATAAACCAAATTTCGCTATTATATAAAATAATGGGTTTAATTAGCAAATCAAATAATTAGCATGATAAATCAACAGGGACATGATGAAAATTAGACATATTTTTTTAGTGAAAATGCTGCTTTAGGCGCTTTCTTGGATAGTTCATTTGTTGATCTCTTAAATCTACCTTTATTATCAATAATGTTCCCAAGAAAATTATACTCTTTTAACTTCATTTAACTGATTTTGACTCAAAAGAATTTCTAGAAAGAAAAAGCATAATTTTAGTTTTAATAGTATTATATTGCTTAAAATTTTTAAAATAAATAATCCAAAATTCCTCGTCATTATGAAATTGTAAATCATCCTCTGATATATATTATTCTACCTTGTGTAATGGGTATCCTTCATAAACATGTACCCTTCCCTGCATAATTATCACTGGTTTATCACGTAATTTACCAAACACAAATTGGCCTTGATGTCCAGGTACTGAAATTAAAAACAAATTATTTACCATTCAGTATGTTTTATGAACATTTGCCAATTTGTAACTGGTTGATGTTGGTTTTACACTGCATCAGCACAAAAAGGCTGTATGGCGTTGAGCAGATCTGTAGTGAAAGGCTGATAGACAAAAGTGTTTTCCCCGAATTTTCTTTACATGATTGAGGGCAGGTTAGAGCCAATAAATGGACTTCGAGAGTAGTGTTCTTTAAATTTAAAGCATGGTGGTAAAGTTGATTTTACATAAAAAAAAATTAATAAAATCTATCATCCAAAGGATGGTGGATAAAGACTGATGCTAGGTTGATAAATATGCATAAATGCTTCAGGGAAACACTGGAAGTCAAGCTCTACCTCTGTAAATGTATTTTGAGGTAAAACGTTCAAAAAATGATCTTCCTCCTTTTTTTTGTTTGTACCACCATATTGACTATCTGTATTTTGATCTGTATTTTTTGTTTGTAGCACCATAGTGATTATCTGTATTTTTTGTTTGTATCACCATAGTGACTGATCTGTATTTTTTGTTTGTAGCACCATAGTGATTATCTGTATTTTTTGTTTGTATCACCATAGTGACTGATCTGTATATTTTGTTTGTACATGTACCACCATAGTGATTGATCCGTTTTTTGTTTGTTTGTAGCAACATAGTGACTAACCTGTATTTTTTGTTTGTAGCACCATAGTGACTGATCTATCATGTAGTTTAGAAAGATAACAGATATGACAGAGAAACTGAAGTAGGTCAGCTGCTAAATGTCTAAAAAATGGTTTATATACTGTTGGCTCATTGTTGAAGGCTGTATTGTGACCTATAGTTGCTTAAATCCATGTCATTTGGAATCAGGTGGATAGTTGTCTCATTGGCAATCATATAGCATCTCCTTACTTAATACAAATTAGAAAATGGTTAGTTCATGGTGGAATGAGACTTAAACATGTGCAACTGGAAAGGAGTCAGTGGGGTTTGTGTTTATCTTGGAGGTGCTTAGCGTAACTGTACTTTGTTTTAATGCTATACTTTATTAAAAGACACAATATGACAACAGCTTGAAAAGGCATTTTGATAATATTGATGTCATTTATATGTCTATACTGATGTCCGAGTGAAAAAACAATGACAAGTTTTAATACTAAACACCTAATGTTTTATTTTATTGTAAGTGCTATGAAGTTTCATATGTTCATTTCTAAAGAAAAAAATGGATGTGACAACAGACAATTATTCATCATGTCTTTTAAATAGTACATTATCAATGATTATAAAGTCTGTTAAACATCACATTTTAAAAGCCCAGTATGAATATTAATATACATATGACACAGGTTTCATATACATCAATGAACAACCTGTATTATAAATTACCATCTCTTCTGTTTCCGCTACATGCATGTTCCAATCTACAAGTACATGATGAACATACCTGTACTAACAGGAAATCCTTCTATATCAAAATAACTAATTGTCTCTTTATCTTCAACTAAATCTGCTAACCCCCCAAGTCCAGAACCACAGATAATTCCAAGTTGAGGTCGACATTTAACCCGCTTCAGGATGTCTTTTGCTATTTTCTCAATTTCTTCATAAGTATCATACCTGTAATATAAAAAGATACATGTATATAATCACTTCGTTAATTAGGTACCAAGTAGTAAGATACTACAGTGTACATTACCTTTCCAATAGAAACTGCCAATGCCACTTTCTTGAAAGAATTTTTGGATCATTGGTCATTATACATGGTATATTGGTCATTATTGTATTTAGTCAGAATAGACAAATTTTGTCGGCCTTAGACCTGGAGACTGGTGCATAAAGTTAGGACTTCATTACATGCCACCATGACTGTATTATAATGGAAGGATATACCATTCAACACTGTTGCATGGGTGAAACATTCTCATTAATCTATGTCAGTCATGTGTCAGTACATATAGTTCATTATAACATGGATTGAAAACAACAAGTGTGACTAAGGGACGACATCAAAAGATCAATGTAGGATAAAAAACTTAAATCAAATAGTTTGGGGGTGGGGGGGGTTTAAAATTGCTGCAAGTTTTGTTTATCCAAAATCGATTTTACATATATCCATACTGGTCAATCAATTTTTCCCAAATTAAGTTAAGAGGGGGGGTGGGTCAGTGAGAAAACTATGTGAATTAAGTTTTTTATCCTACATTGAACTTTTGATGTCGTCCCTAACAATGTGAAATTTTAGATAAATAAAGGTCCAAAATATTCCTTGTATCAAACTTTTATTTTTTTGTGGAATTATTGCAATAAAGAAAAAAACTTTAATGAATTATAGTGAAAACATAACAGCTCCCTGGACTAACTTGGATGACAGAATTAAACATTGTACTGTCAGTTAATTTTGTCACAGTTCTGTGCATTTAAAACCCTTAATCAGGTTAATTCCAAGAAAAAACATTAATTCCTTATCCTTTCTTTTTTAATCTACTGGTATTCATTGGTATTACTGAATTCCAAAGATTGCAAAACAAATTTATTATAATCTCAAAAAAATTTACATAATTTAGGAAATTTAGTGTATGAATTCAAATTCTAATATAACAGTAACATCAAAATTATTAAACTCTAAACTTGTTAAAGGGGCATCAGCTGTCAAATTCATGTTCCCTGATTTGATTCAAATTCACATATTTGATTTTATAACATACTAAAACATATATCCAAATAATAAAAAAAATAAAATAAACCATTTCAGTGCATGGACTTGATAATATATATCAGCATTTTGCGTGTATTTTAGTCTAGACGCCATCTAATTAACCATCGAGGTGACCTTCAAAATCTGCCAAAGGTCATATAACCCAATGTAAACATAAATATAGATATAAATACATAGTGAACAAGTGCAATTGGATTATTCTAGGTCTGTTTGATTTCATAGCAAAGGTTAAACAAATATGTTAATCATTGTTTTTACCTGTATAAGAATGAGTTTTTGTGGATCGAATCAGTCTACGAAATTGTTAAACCTAGTTTCACTTTCAATGTTGACATTCTTTTCCTTTTAATAGCTAAGCATGCCTAGTGCATGCGTAACCTATCTCCAGCTAAGGGGTTGCATTGGAGGTCACATGAATACAGATTCAATGAGGTTGAATTATTCACTTGCAAGTGAATAATTCATCAGCAATGTTTCTTGGCTTATTTTGACAAAATTGAACCAAACTGGCTGCTAAAAGCCAATTATTATTTCACTATTTCACTTTCATTAATGATTGAACAAAAAAAATATATATATATTTCAATTTTTTGTATATCTCGTAGCTAATGCCCCTTTAAATATAGTTTAACTTGAATAAATTTTTTGTAAATCACATCAACATCTGGTTGGAAAATATTTTTGTACTGTGGGTAAAACATAAATAAATGAGAATTCAGATGTAAATAAGAAAGGAATTTCAACATTTCAAGGGCCTTTACCATGTTCATATAACAATAAGAAGATGTGGTATGATTGCCAATGAGACAATTCTCTACCAAAGACCAAATGACATAGTTAACAACTATAGATCCCCATACAGCCTTCACCAACAAGAATAACCCATACCAAGCCTACTTAAAAGAGAGAAAAAATTTAAATGCATTATTATAAATATGTCTTGCATGTTAAACATAATTAAATGCAATAAAAAATTTAAATGCATTATTATTATTGACAAATTATTAGTGAACATATGGAGGAAAATTGCCAACAAATTTACAACACTTTTTGATTTTACAATTTGTAGTGTTCAAAATGTGACCATATATTCAATAATAATCTAGATTTTGGATTTTATATAAAACATCTTTGATTTGACTTTTACTTGAATCATGGAAGTATTACATGTATATTGATATAAGATAATACTGCCATGCTTTAATCTAAATTTTGCACTGATTAACTTAGAATTGGACAAAAGGCATAAAATATAATTAATCATGTTAATCCACGTGTGTAACATATACTTAATACTTATTACTGTAAGTTACTATTATATTAGGTTTTGTTTTGTATTTACATACATGGTTTCATTTTTCATATTAGACATCAAATAATTAACCAACTTATTAATATGCACTTCTCTTACTCACTAATTAATAAAAAACAAAAAACATTATGTAAAATTTTATTTTTAAGGGAGGTCTTACATTGTACATTTTTACAATGAATATATCAAGAAGTGACCTAAAATTTATGTAATTATTTCGAAAATACAAACAAACAACAAAATAAGAAAGTTACAAATGAAAAAAAAAATACATGTATAGTTCAGATACATAAGACAACTTACTTGTGTAATAAATTTGAAGTCATTTTTAAAAAATCAAGTCCAGTTTTTTCGACCTTTATATATGCTGTCGTCCAAAATAACAATAGTTTATTTTTGATCTATGTGTTCTACCCGAAGTCATGTATGAATGTGTCAAGTTTTAAATATCCTGTATGTATAAATATTGTGATCAAATCTTTAATCCTTCTGATTCTAATACAATGTCATAAGTATACATACGTATATAATGATATAATAAATAATCACCTTCAATTTATTCCTGGTCTTATTAATAGCCAGAATGAACTTAACTTTTTTTGGTAACAAAAAGTTTACTTTTTAATCTAAATACTTTCTATGCGACTGTCATACAACATGTACAAGTGAGAGGTTTAGCTAGCTATAAAGCCAGGTTTAATCCATTAATGTTTTTGTCATTTGATACACGACTTTCTGTTTTGAATTTTCCTTGGAATTTTTTTTTTTTTTTTTTGTAATTTTACTTTTTTATAAACTTGTCAAGACTTTGAATAAATTTATATTGGACACAGTGATATGCGGTATGAATTTATATTAATCAAAGAAGACAGACTTTTAAACTCTTTGTAGATTTTTTCTGGATTTATTATTGTTGGGTTGCTGTCTCATTGAAGTTTACTTGCAAAGTATGAAAATGAAAACCATGGCCATTGGACAAAATTATTTGTTATACATAAATTTTTCATTCTAAATGCTGCAAACCAATCATTTAAAGTACCATCAAGAAAAGCTGACCACTGGAGTGTGAAAATTAGGTCAAGCTATTTAGTATTTTACATATTGGTCAGAGAGACATATAATTGTTACAACAAATCAACATCTAAAATCTTTTTTTACCTATCTTGCATACAGTTGACATGGATAAAGAGAAAGATTTTACTTTTGGAAACTTTAAAATGAAGTTATGGCTACTGGACAGACAAATACAAAGCATTACAATGAATTAAAATATCAAAAACAACATTAAATTGAGATACAAAAAAAAAATCACTAAATTTAGAGTCCAATATAAAATAAATATGCATATTTTGTACTGCGAAGTGGGAGATTTTCAATTTGATTTAATACTTTATTTATTTAAAGAGGATTGCCAACATGTGCACTGGCCCAACAGCCAGAGGCGAAGTGTGGGTCTCCTTAGTTGAAGAATGGCAAATTTTTGTCAGGGGTTTATCAATCACCCTTCATGATTTTAAAAGATCAAATTGAAAATACATAAACCAGTGTACAACCCCTGCAAAAAAACTTATCTAATAGTCTTAAGGAAGATCAACAATTGGGCTTACGGTAATTAAACTTTTCTCAGTACTCGGGAGTACAAAATTTGTGCACAAAACATCAATTCCATTATTTTGACTGGTTGAATTTTGAGTCAGAGTAGGATAATCTTACTCCAAATTTTCAAGACTGTAAGGCCAGGAACAAGCAAAAACGTGGAAACATAAATCATCTTGAGCAGGTTTGACACTAGAAATATTGAAAAATAAGACCTCTTTACAGTATACAGAATGAAAAAAACAAGGATGTACATCCAATTAAATCTGATGAAACATAAGGAAATTATCAATATATTACACGAATACCACTTGGTTGTACTTATACATTCTTAGAATAGGGTAATTAAACAACTAAATGTATCAAGAAAATATAATATGTTAAATTAAGTTAGTACATGTAAATCTTATCTTGGTACAAATCACTTAAATGTACTATTAACAACTAGCCAACAGTGAAGTGTGCATGAGATTGCTATCGATTTTTCTCCTTTTATTATCACTTTCCATAAAAGAGAGCTAAATTGAACTTATTGATGTAAATATTTATCTGCATAAATTTCTTTACAGTTTAACTGTTTGTCTATTTCATGGTTCATGAATTTCACTATTAAATAACATCTGATTAACATGATTTTGTACTTTTATATACTCTAATCATTTAAAACAAGAGTGCACACGCTGAAATGTCTCGCCTTCTTTACTAACCATTGATTTTATGTTGTTAGTCCTAAATATAAAGCTTTACTACAACTATCACATAAACTTAACATGATCCAAGAAAATGAGGTCAAGGTCAGATAAACCAAACGAGAAATACATGTACACCTTACAATCATTCAATAAACCAAACATAGTTGACCTATTGCTTATAGTTTCTAAGAAACAGTCTTAACCAAGAAAACTTAACATTGACCAATGAACCATGAAAATGAGGTCAAGGTCAGATGAACCATGCCAGACAGACATGTACACCTTACAATCAAGTTATGCATTAAATATAGTTGACCTATTGCTTATTATAGTATCTAAGAAACAAACTTAACATTGACCAATGAACCATGAAAATGAGGTCAAGGTCAGATGATACCTGCCAGACAGACATATACACCTTACAATCCTTCCATACAACAAATATAGTTGATCTATTACTTATAGTTGAAGAAAAACAGACCAAAACACAATAAAATGCTTTGCTGAGCGCAGCCTGATACGACCGCAGTGGTCAAACCCTGAACAGTTGGGGCAAATTTGGACATAATATTCAAGTTTGATACTATCTGAATTTGGATTGTGATCAAATTTTTGACATAATATAGGTTTATGACACAAAATAAATGTGGTCAAAGATCTTACAAATCTAATGCACAATACTGTGTCAATTTGGAAAATTTTGAGAAAAAAAATATGAACCCTTTTAAAAAAAAATTGGAAACCCCCCCTTCCCCCAAACTTTTTGAATCCCCCTTTTAGCATTAACCATCAAACTCAATTGCAGTCTTTCCTTTGTAGTATGGAACCTTGTAGTACAATTTTAGAGACATCCATACACTTAATCACAAGTTACTGTCTGGAAACTAGAAAAATGCTTTTTTTAAATTAAAAAGCCTCCATCAGCAACATTAAATTGTAATATCTAAAAATAAAATTCCTTCACATACATAATCATGGCTATAATTAAATTACCTTTATTAAACATTTTTAAAATAGTAACTTCTAAAAACAAATTGACAGCTAATCACCTAAAGACTATACATTTCTTTATAAATAATTTACAAGCAGTGTAAGGGACGTAATTTGACAATATGTGTTTGAATTACCTCCCTTACACTGCTTTAAAATTATGTTTTGTACTTAAGTAATTGTCCATTAACCTGGAAACCCTTGTTTTTCCCCCTTTTTGCCCTTAAGTCCTAAACAGTTTGAGCCATAACCCCCCAAAGCAAATTCTTACCATCCCTTTGTGATATGGTAACTTGTGGTATAATTTCAGAGATCCATACACCATTTCACAAGGTAGTGTCTGGAAACAAGAAAAAGGCTTATTTGGGCCCCTTATTCCTGAACTGTTAGGACCATAACCCCCAAAATCAATCCCAACCTTCCTTTTGTGGTCATAAACCTTATGGTAAAATTTCATAGAAATCCATACACTTTAACAAAAGTTATTGTCCGGAAACCAATGTGTCTTCGGATGACGACGTGATACCAATATACGACAAAAGTTTTGCGGTCGTATAAAAACTTAACACTGAGAAATGAACCGTGATAATGAGGTCAAGGTCAAATAAACCTGCCAGACTGACATGTACATCATAAAATATTTCCATACACCAAATATAGTTGACCTATTGCATATAGTATTACAATAAAAAAGACCAAAACTCAAAACCTTAACTTTGACCACTGAACCATGAAAATGAGGTCAAGGTCAGATGACACCTACCAGTTGGACATATACACCTTACAATCATTCCATATACCAAATATAGTAGACCTACTGAAAATAGTATCTGATATATGGACTTGACCACGAAAACTTAACCTTGTTCACTGATCCATGAAATGAGGTCGAGGTCAAATGAAATTTTTTTTCAAGTAGTCACTAAACCATGAAAATGAGGTCAAGGACAACGGACATATGACAGACGGAAACTTCGTAACATAAGGCATCTATATACAAAGTATGAAGCATCCAGGTCTTCTAGCTTCTAAAAATAAAAAGCTTTAAAGAAGTTAGCTAATGCCGTCGCCGGATCACTATCCCTATGTCGAGCTTTCTGCGACAAAAGTCGCAGGCTCGACAAAAACTCTGAATTTTTTAAAAGTTCTCTCATGGCTTACATTTCATTTAGCCCATAACTTTTTTATTTTAATTTTATAGTTAATTTTGTCTATCTTACAGCTTTTTGTTTTTTAAGGAATATAAAGTTGGTGTTGAAAGCCGATCTCCTTTGATAGTTCGTTATTTATTCACAGTTTTTCTATAATTTCTACACGAGGTGTTCTTTAAAGCGTGACATATAAAACTTGTTTATCATTATAGAACTTCCTATGACCTCTAGTCGTCTGTTTTGTTATTGGGTTGTTGTCTTATTGAAAGACGACCGGTATATACCAAACATTTCCTTTAATTCATAGTTGTGATAGTGGTGGTAGGAATTGCCACTATATATGAACCCTGTAAAGCATAGTAGTAATACAATTTCATGGTGGCCTACACTAAGTGAAAAGCCATAAAAGGCATACAATATGATAGTGGTTTGCCCTCATAATGAAAAGACAACAATATATATAATTGTTATATCTGTATATATATATATACCATATCATTAATCATGTTAATGTCCCGATACACATTTTAATAAGCACCCACCATGCCATATAGCACCGTCCCTTGGTGCCTCCTGCAGTTAAGCTAGATATATTTAGCCTACTCACAGAATTCTTTTTTTTTTTTTTTTTTTTTTTTGTTACTTTCTAGAGGTGTGCCTGAGACGAAGGTTTTATATATACTCCTATATATATATATACAAATATGTGAAAACTGTTGTTTATATTATATTATGCTCCTTGTGAGCCTATTTGATGGAAATAAAGCATCTTCTTCGTCTTCTCCTATATACTTCTAAAATGTTTTACCCTGCAATTAAAAACTACCATGACCACTTCTTGAGATATAACTTTTACATTTTGTATCGCTATAGACACTTGTTTATATTTGAAGACTATATGTTGACCCTCAGATTTCTTGAACGTTATTTTTTGTGTAGTTTGGGTTATTTATCATTGAGGTATTTCGTACATTCATACATCCTTCTATATATACACATGTTTTTGAATTTACGTGACACTTTTTGATATTGTGTTTTTCATAACTGCTTTATGAAATAGTAAAACAATTTTCTAATCCAACAGTTTCACCCTTTTAAAATGAAGTAAAGTTTAGTCAAGAAGCTATCACTTACTTAGCAAAACCTTAAAAGAACAAAGACAATCAACAACAACAATAAATCTATCTGATTAAAATCTGTCACTTTGCTAAGTTAAAAGTTGATAACATCCCATAAGGGGTCATGTTAAATGACCTTTCAGTTTCAAGTCAAATCTTTACCTTTAAGGTTTCAGTATTTTTTACAATGGACTATGAAAGAAATTATAGGGTTAACTGTGAAATATTTCAGAATTTAGCCCTTAAACATTGTTAAATTCAATGATCTCATTGTCTTTTTTCCAGACATCATTTGGATGTTTTGGTGTCGACCTTATCATGAACATTTATCAACTTGTTTCATTGTTTCATCATAAATTGTAAGTCTATTAACATTTAATTTATATAACAGTAATTTTCAATTGTGGGCAAAAATATGTTGTCAATGTCTGCCAGTGTGTAACATGAAACAATTGGTTGATTGAAAAATTTGCATTTGAGGTCATCTTAACATGATCCCTTATGGGTTGTTTTCAGATCTAA